GATGGGAGTAATAATAGTACTAACTTCTGAATAGCCCTCTGCAGGAATTTCCAGTTGTCTTATGTACCTCATGAGGGTGGGAACCCTGACTATTCCATTCACAGTGTCCACCATAGTGTCTGGAACATAGCTAGTGCCTAATAAATATGTTGAAATAAGTGAATGGATTCAATCTCAACTATCTTCCTGTCAACTTAGCAGGATAAGATTTAAATGATCAAGATGAGGGTTAAAGACAATTAGAAGATCCACCTGAGACCCTCAGAAAGAGCTCTATAGAAACTAATAGTAAATTGCAATTAGAGAGAGAGAGATTATAGGGAGTTCAGTCAGTTTAGACTGGAAGTGGTGCATGGGAAAGCAGAAGCTTTGAAGGCTCTTGAACAGAGGAAGATGAAGAGATCAAAACAAGGTTCTCCAAATTCAAGAGTGGTTGAATGCAGAAGGGATGGAGAAGGGGGCCAGATGAGAGGATGTTGGAGTGATATAGGCATTGGTTTGCTTACCCAATAAACATTTATTAAAATCACAGTACCCATCTAAAGTTAGATTTTATGCTAATGAAGGATAGCGAGATGTGTAAGTTGTGAATCTTGCCATCAAGGAGTCTGTATCTGAGAGGAGAACTAAGGAGAGCTCACAAATGATTATAATTCAATAAAGAGAATAAAAAAGTCACAAGTAAAAAGTCCAGATTTCAGGAGGGTAAGGTCTGTTCTGCTGGGGGCATCAGGAAGGGTTATTGCAGGATTCTAGAGTAGTGCTTCTACCTGCCTCTACCTCCCCACTCCCTGGTCTCCTCTCTGTCATGTTACTTTACTTAGTGATCGGGCATCCTCTTGTCTATTTCTTGCTCTTTGTCTCTCTCTTCCTTTAGAGAATGAAGGCTCCAAGATGAAGAATACTTGTTTGTTCTGGTTGCTGTCTTATCACTAATGCTGTGATCACTACCAGGTTTTTCAATACACATTTTTAAATGAATGAATGAATAAAGTGTCATTGGAGTTTGATACCATAGGGTGGGCAGGATTTGGATATTCATTAAAAGTGGAGCGAGAGGCAGCTGGTTGTTGCTCGGTGTTAGTGCTTGTCTAGTACATATGAGGCACTGGGTTTAATCCTCAGCACCACATAAAAATAAATAAATAAAATAAAGTTTTTTTTTTTTTTAAAGTGGAGGGAGAGACATTTTAGGTGGAGGGTATATGAAGTCCTATAAGGAGTAGAGAATAAAAGATGCATTTGGACAGTGGATTTAAGGAAAACTATTGAGATACGATGGTGGATTAGACATGAAGAACAAAAGAGAGGTAGCAAATGACAATTCCAAAGTTCGTGTCTTTGAAGCCTGATGGAGATTGAGCGAGTGAATGATAAAAGAAGGGAAGTTGAGAGGACAAGCCATTTTATCAGGCAGTGGTTGAAAACCTCAAGGGTGACATCTGTGAGCATTTGTAGAGACTGGGTTGAGGTGCATGGTCAGGTCTGAACATGGTGAGTTGAGATTCACTAGTTTGGAAGAGATACTAGTAATTTGAACCAAGGATGGGTGCTCAAAGGGAGAAAGCCCAGAAAAAGGAGAACCCTTGGGAACAGGGGGCACTGGGCAAGATGGATTAGCAAGGGAGATGGGGAAAGACTTGCAAAAGGGCATTTCAGGAGAGATGGTCAGTCAGATGTCAAAAATAGGTCCCCAAATATGGAAGTCAAGGTTATTAGGTTTGATAGAGGGGACAAGGTCACCTTCAATAAAAAGATTTTTATAGGATTGTGGCAAAAATTACATATTATATGTGTATATGATATAATGAATATTCCTTGGTACCAGCCAACATACATATTTGGTAATGATATATATATATATATATATATATATATATATATATCTATATATA